TGTGGGAGTCCAGCGACTTAACCATTATGCCACCTGCTGGTCCCTCACTTCTGTTATAGGTAAAAGAACAGCAGTTCTTGACTCTCTTAAATCACCTAAAGCCAGCAGGAAAATCAACCTCATTTGCCAAGGGCAGCCTTTTCTTTCAACATGGTGAACACGCTTTTTCTTCGGCCATGATCATCGTGGTGCTGGGAGAGATACGCTTCAGTGTCCTGTCTTCAATTCGGTTCATCAGAACTTCCTCCTCGTCTGGTGTAGGCCCTTCTCGAGTGTTGTTAGTCTCGCTGCCGTCGATGAAGCGGATGCCATGAAAGCTTCCATCACTGCTCTTGTTCTTCAGGACCAGAGCTACGGTTCAATGGGGCGTGCCTGACGGACGCCCAGTAACCGCCGCTGCTTTTCCACCTTTGTGGTCCTTCATCAGTTTCATCTCGGTTGCAGGTCAGTTGCTCAACGCGGCCCAGCGTGAGCAGTGGGGGCCATGTGCTTAGGAACTTGGTGAAACAGAAGTTCCTAAGAGAACTTCTAGATCAAACCAAGAGAAAATGACACAATCAAGAAATTTGGTAAGCATGCTGCTGCTGACATAACACCACACAGTTTTACAGCTAACCGATTTTTATATAAGTACAAGGAGTACATTCTAAAATGATGGCAAAGCATGTAGTCTAATAAATGCATAGACCAGTTGCATGTTCTCGTGGCTGGAGAGAGAGAAAGAGACAGATAGAGACAGAGAGAGGGAAAGTGAGAAATCACTCCTAGCGGGGTGGTCATGCTGCAATTTCTTCTTCTCAATTCCCCTCGTGGGATTTTGGGCATGTGTGCACATGTGCCCAGAGTGATTTTGAAATCACCAGGTCTGGGACTCAAACCACACTAGGCCATGTGGGAATCCAGCCACCTTACCCACCACATTGCTTGTTGGCCCCATAGTCATGTATTTATTGCCACCAAGGACACACTGTACATAATCGTAGGTGCGGCACTTTCCCAGGTCTGGGAGCACAATCTGTTTCCACCAGCATCACTGTGAACACGCGTGTGACACACCGCTCTCTGGTGTTGCCATGGCCGTGACATCACTAAGAGACTGGACTTTTTTTTAGCTCATTATCTTAAGAGATGGGACCAGCAGATGGTGTAGCAGTTACATTGCTAGAACCCCCACATGGCCAGCCACAGTTAGAGTCCTGGCCTGGTGGCTTGAAAATTATGCTGGGCGCATGTGTGTGCATGCCTAAGATCTTGGGAAGAGAATGGAGGAGAAGGGATTGCAGTGTGGCCATCCTCCCAGGGGGTGATTTCTCACTTTCCCTCTCACTATGCCTGTCTCTATCTGGCCAGTGCATGTGCCCTAAGGCAAAAACCTCTAAAAAGAAGTTGAAAGAAAAATCTTACGGGACGACCTGCATGGATGTGGTCAGTGGGAACCGCCTTACATAGAGCATCCCTGTATGTGGCCTTCCTGTGAGCTAGCGTGTCTGCGGCCTGTCCCTGAGCTAGCCTGCCCCTGAGCTAGTGTCTCTGTGTTGGACTGTGGGGAAGTCATGACACACTTTTGCCTAGAAAACCAGAAAAACATGTCATGACTTTCCCAATGAACTATTATTACCCCCACCCTATGGATGAGGAAGGTAAGACGCAGAAGGGCTCGCCCAAAGCTGCAGTCGTAAGCGGTGGGATGAGACTTCAGCTCATCTGCACTCTAGCCTGCTCTGTCAGCATTTCAGCTTGCAACCCTTGACGTCCCAGCCCTTGGCTCACGGTTTGCAGGGGAAGACGCTGAGCCAAGGGAGAGGAAATCCTCAGTGACATTGTCATGCCGCATCTGATGGCTGGGGCTCACCTCTGGTGAGCCGTATGCAACCTCCAAATCCTCAGGGCCTAGTGCAGTCAGTCTAGGGAGCTGTGTGCTACACAAGCCCATGTCCCAACCTGTCCCTTGGAGTCAGCAGAGCCAGTATGCAAACCCGGCTTCTCCCACCCCGGGGCTCTTTCTCAGGCCTGGCTGCTGCCCCACCTGACCTGCACTCTCCCGGATGTCCAGAGGCCACTGCCCCACCTAACTTGCACTCCTCTGGATGCCCACCGAGGGCACTGCACTGGCTCCAGCACACTCATCTGAGCCCACCTCCAGCCTTGGCTCCTCCCCCAGCAATGGGGTTAATCAAGGCACCACCCTCGCAGGGCCGTTGGGAAGCCTAAAGGAGATTACGCATGTGCCTGGCATATGGGTGCTCAAGAAATAATAGCCACTGCTATGACGCTTCCTCGTATGAATGCATGTGGTGAGGAGGGGTGCATCATTGCCCTCAAGCAGGGACCTGCCCTTCTTAACAGATCTGGACAGGAGACCCTGCTCAGGGGAAGGCTTCCCATAGGTCTCAGGCACTCAGGACTAATGACCTGGAATTGCCCTCTTTACATTCTGTCGTTTCCCCAGTAGGTCCTACTCTCCACCAGGCTCTGGGCTGGGCTGGAGATCCAGAGAGAAACGGAACCCGCCCAGCTGACTGGTAAGGCCAGACAAGGTCGCAGGACTCTGAGGAAGACAATGACCAGTCTGGCAGGAAGACATAGTCCCACTGCAGCAGGGAATTCTAGATGTCGCTGCACTCCTCTCCCTGTCCCCCAGCAGTTCAACCTAGCTTCATGATCCAGCTGTGGCAGGCTGTGATCTGTGCCCTCTGAGCCTGGCTCCCCCAAGCCCAAACACTCCTTAATACTCTCCTCCGATTGGCTGGAATAAAGATGACACCCAGGGCAACCTGAGACCCCCAAGTTGCAGACTCCTCCCGGGAAGGACTGAGTGTAGGGGCCGCCCACCAGGATTTGTTACACTAAGCAAGAGCTCCAAGGGTAGCCTGTTTGCGTTTGTAACAAGCTGTGTGTTACAGTCGAGGTTTACCCTGATACTTTGCCTTGAAAGTCTGAATTGTGTCGTTATGTAGCCTTTCCCCTCCCCAACTTGAACAATTACATTGGGTGCTATAGTACATTGTCACAACCTAGGGCTTTGTGCAACTAGAGATAAAACTCCTGACCCATCAGATTGCCCTGCCATTCACCGGTTCTCTGTTTTCATTCATTTTGTTGTTGTCGTCGTCGTTGGCTGGAATGAGATCTTGAGCCAGAGTTTTCAGGAAGGCTGTGTGAGAGTTAGGAATCCTGCATGTGTGAGAATGTCTCTGCTGTCTTACACATGAGTGACATGCGGTGTAAGTAATGTGCCAGGGGGAGGGCATCTCTCCCATCTTCTCCAGTTCTCTGTAGACATTGGCACACTGTGTGTTGCCATGGAGAAGCTCAAGACCAGCCCGTACCACCCAGGATCCTGGCAGGAACGAAGCAACACACTGAATTGAGCAATTAAAGAAACTTTAATAAAGGAATGACTTAAAAGCCAAGCAGCAGTAGCTGTCAGCGTCCTCACCTGACCGTAGGTTCCTGGGCAGAGAAACCCGAGCGTCAGTGCCCCGCCCCCTTCTGCCACAGGTACTTTCTGGCACGAGAGCAGGCTTAGCCAGTTATGTTGCTCAGACTAAGAGTGCCAACAAGTTCATACTCTGGAAGCGGCCAGAGAGGAATGGGTCACCAGATCCCTCAGCTTCCTCCCTCCTGAGCTAACTCTGAGTGAGACATATTCCCCACCATCTCCCAGCGCCCCAGAAGGGCTGGGCTCCAGGTACCCAGTGTGGTAACCTGCCATGCTGGCTTCTTCTCCTTGTGTCTTATTTCTGCCCCCGCCCTCCGGCCCTGTGTTGCCTGGCATCCTCGTCCCAAATAAACTATTCACGTTCACACTCAAGACTTTTTTTTTTCTTTTTTTTTGGAGAGGTTTTTGCCATAGGGCACATGCACTCACCAGAAAGACAAAGAGAGAGACAGAAAGTGAGAAATCACCCCCCAGGAGGGATGGCCACACCGCAATCCCTTCTCCTCCATTCTCCTCTTGGGATCTTGGGCCCGCACGCACACGCGCCTGGCATGATGCCGGGGACCAGCCTCGGCGGGGGTGGGTTGGCTCAACGGAGGCGGCGCTGGAAGGAAAGGAAGACTAAGGCCTCGTGCCTTTTCATGCACGTCCTTAGCTGTTAGGAATCATCGTGCCTTTTTATTGAAAATGCGATACATGCAAGTAAATGGGAGAGGGGCTACGTGTACTAATTATCAATGCATAAAGTTTTAACAATAGAAACCATTCAGGGTTTGATTAAGAGCAGGTCTACTAATCATCGATACAGTTCAACAATTGTTTGATTGATAAAAGCAGGTTCCTGGTAACTTCAAGCAGTGCAGTTTCAGGAAACAGTTCTAGCAAGCAGAGTTAACTATCAGCTGATATTCAGCAGCAGCCGTCTTATGATTACTAAAAGAAAATATCAAGCATAGATATTAGTTCTTATGGATTTTCATAAAGAATGATACTTGTATAATTCTATAGGGATCTAAAACTTAAGGAATCCTAATATATTTACCTATCCTGAAGGGGTGAAGTTAGTGTTCACTTGATGAGAGTGGGGATACAGTCTTTTCAACTGGTGGTGAAGTGACTAATAAGTTAATGAAAAACTTTAAAATGGGTTTATGGTGTTGTGGATACACTTGTGTAGCCTATGGCACCACTGTTATGTATTTTGTTAGAACATTA